TAAAACTATGGGGCTGGTTGAAAACAGTAAAGGAATTTCTGTAGATGGAGAAGTGAGGTGAAGACAGAGTACTGGGGAACTGTAGTGTTTAAAGATAAGATGAAGAGGAGAATCAGGAGAATCTGAAAAGTTGGCCAGTGAGATAGGTAGAGAATGAAACAGTAGTGTCTTGGAGTCCAAGCAAAGAAAATATTTAGAGGATGGACTAATCAAATATGTCTGGTGTTGTTGAAGTTGAGTAAGATTGAAGATCTTGTTAGGAGTGGTTGGAGTAGACCAGTAAGAATGAAAAACCGATAAGAAATTTGAGAGAGAATGAAAGAAGAGGAAGTAAAATAAAGACTCATGGGCCAAAGAAAAGCCTTATGACTCTTATAACCATAACTGAATGGCATATGGCAACATACTTTGTTTTGGGATAATTCTTCTATGTAATCCTTTTTAAAGAAATCATTGGACTCTTCTTATCTATTTTTTTATTTTGAAAAATTTCAAATCTATACACAGGGTACAAGACCAATATAAGTAACACCTATATCCCTTCCCCTAGATTTACCAGTTACCAGCATTTTGCCATATTGAGCTCATATTCTCTCCCCAGCCCTGCTTTTAATATGAGAGTAAGTTTTAGATATTCTAATACTTCACTGTTAAATATTTGAGTATGTGTCTTCTACGAAAAAGGACATTCTTTAACGTAATCACAATATAATTATTATATTCAAGAAATTTACCATTGATACAAATAGTACTATAATATATCTAGTTCACATTCAAAGATCTTTCCCCAAGAATGTCCTTTATAGCTGTTTTTGTTTGATTGCTTTTTTTTTTTTTTTTTTGGTGTGTGGGGGGGGTATGGTATAGGAGCCAATCAAAAAGTATTGTCAGACTTTCAGTTATGAAACGAATAAGTCATGGGGAAAAAAGGTACATCATAAAGAATATAGTCAGTGATATTGTAATAGTGTTGTGTGGTGACAGATGGTAGCTACACTTGTGGTGAGCTTAGCATAATATATAGAGAAACTGAATCACTGTATAGTTCACCTGAAACTAATGTAACGTTCTGTGTCAACTATACTCAAATAAAAAATTTTTTAAAAATCTTCATAATTGGTGTATAGAAATGAAACAGGTTTCTGTCTATTGATTTGTATCCTGTGATTTTACTTAATTTGTTTATCAGTTCCAGCAGTTTTATGGTGACGTCTTTTGAGTGTTTTATATAGATATCACATCATCTACAAATAGTGAAAGTTTGACTCCTCCTCGCCAGTTTGGACACCTTGTATTTCTTTCTGTTGTCTGTTTGCTGAGGCTAGAACTTCCAGTACTATGTTAAATAACAGTGGTGTGAATGGACATGCCTGTCTTTTTCCTGACCCTAGAGGAAAAGCTTTCAGTTTTTCCCCATTGAAGATGATATTAGCTGTGGGTTTTTCATACATGGCCTTTATTATGTTGAAGTATGTTCCCTCTAAATCTACTTTGTTGAGGGTCTTTATCATGAATAGATGTACTTTGTCAGGTGCTTTTTCTGCATCTCTTAAGAGGATCATATGATTCTTTTCTGTTTTGTCTTATTTTATTTTAGAGAAAGAGAACATTAGCAGGGGAGAGGGGGAAAGGGAGAGAGAAAGAGGGAGGAAAGGAGAAAGAGGGAGAGCGAGCAAGAGGGATAGAGTCTTATTCAGGCTCCATGCTCAGTGCATGTATCATGCTCAATTTGTATCAGGTTGCTTGATTTGCGAATATTGAACTACCCTTGCAAACCAGGAATAAGTCTCACTTGATCATGGTGAATGGTTCTTTTAATGTACTGTTGGATTCAGTTTGCTTGTATTTTATTGCAAAATTTTGCATCTGTGTTCATCAGGGATATCTATCTGTAGTTCTCTTTTTCAGTGTTGTCTTTGGTTTGGAACTGGTAATGCTGGCCTCATGGAATGAGTTTGGAAGTTTTCCTTCCATTTGTATTTTTTGGAACAGTTTGAAAGGAATAGGTATTAACTCTTCTTTAAATATTTGGTAGTAATAGGGGCCATTAAACTGGGTAAAAGATGAATTGCTAGAGATGATTATGCATGCCTTCAGCAGCCCATGAAATGTACCTGAGAACAATAAAGATATCTGATGACCTTTCAGGGAGTTGCTTATGCAAATGAGAACATCATGATTATACTTTTGCTTGTTCATCTAAAGGCTATCATGATATATAGATGGAAAAACTTCCTTTGCTCAGTAGCATCACAAATAAGAAGCTGGTTTCAGATCAGCATGTGCTAGAAATGAAAATTCATGGCCAAGTGCCTAATTTGGCTATAAAAGAAGATAATAATGGATACAGAATCAGCATCCAAGTTTATTTCCTTTTAAAACAATAATTTCATCAGATGACACTTCTTACTGCTCTTCTAAAATTATAGTATTTGGCACAAAAATTATTTGTAATCCTCAGAAGTAAAATATGTTGTAAATATATGTCACCAGCATCTTTCTGCTCTTAAACAATAAATGATACTTCTTTAAAAAAAAATATTTGGTAGAATTCCACTGTGAAGCTATCTGGCCCTGGACTTTTGTTTGTTGGAGATGTTTGGTTATGGATTCAGTTTTTTTTTTTTTTGGCTAGATATTGATCTGTTCGATACTTTTCTTCCAGATTGTCTGGTTTGTTGACACAATTTTTCACTATATTCTCTTATAATTGTTTGTATTTTTGTGATGTTGATTGTGATTTCTCTTCTTTTACCTGTGATTTTATTTATTTGGGTCCTTTCTCTTTTTGATAAGTTTTTCTTTTTTCCTTTTATGATATGTACATTGTTGAAGTGCCCAGGTCAGTTGTTTTGCAAAATGACCCTCAGTTTGTATTTGTCTAAATGTTTTCTCCTGGTTAGATTCATCTTAAGCATTTTGTATTGCAATACTACATAGGTGGTGTTGTGAATTAAAGCAATCATATTTCTCCAAAATGTCCTCCCAGTGCGTGATATGATTAGCAAGATTGGGACTTGGGACTCTACCTTAGTAAATACTAGCCAAGAGCAAAGGCCTCATTCAGAGAACATGCATTGTGTTTCTATCATGTGCCTTCTTCATTGTATCCTGCCATACCTGTGGGAATGCTTCTTGGGATATATCGTCTGCATCTTGGAAAACTTGTACCATTTGTGCTGAAGTACTCTGTATTTTATTTGGTTGACAGGGAATGAAATTACTTGAATAGTCTGCAGAAATTTTCTTATGGGGACTTTTAAAATTTTCATATTTTTCAGTTAGCTTTTAAAGTTTTTCTTCACATCTGGGTTTTCTCATTTTTAAAATGATTCACCAATTTTTGTAAAGTTTCACTGAAAAAAACATACATTTGTAGTAAATTTGAAGATTTTGAGGCTGATAAGAAAAAAGATATGGCTACAAGATGGAAGGAACATATGATAAGCTTTATTTAGGCAGAGCTTTGACGGGTTGTCCCTAACAGCTGCAGACCTCCTGGCAGTGCAGGGCCATACCTGTAACAGGAAGAGGGCACAGGAACCTCTGGGAGAAAAGGGCTTATGTGTTAGATTATGTTACTCAGCTGCATGATGGGTAATCTCAGGGTCAAAGAGCACCGTAGAATAGCAGCAGCTTATGATCTTTATATTTCGGGGCGGGCCTAAACTGTGGCTAGAAGATATTGAGTGCACCTTCATTAATGTAAAATGGCAGACCCTAAATGGCTAAAAATATGCTTACTTGGGTTATATTAAAAGCAGTTGGATATGTAAAATTTTGGCACTGGTGGGTTGTGAGCTAATGGTGCTCTCTTGCTGTGAAGAAGTAAATAACATAGGGCCCAGTATATAAGAGTCACTTTGGCACATTCATATAACACCATTACATTATGAAACACTTATAAACCTTTTTTATTTTTAAATTATGGGAAGTAGTGACTGATTTGAATTAGGAATAGCCAACTTCTGTAGTTGTAGGAGTTGTTTGTTTTACTGATTACTAACCAAATTTTAGTTTAATTGAAAACTATATCTTTTATCCCAGGAAAGAAGCTTGTGAATCTAGGATAAAATTATAATGGGGTAAGTTTGTTTTAGGAGGGAGGCATGAGGTATTACAGGTAGGCCAATGACATACTCCTCTTAGGTTCTGTTCAAGAAATTATTCATGTTCATATTTTTTGGATTTGCCTCTTTACTCTCGTTTAATGAGCTTGGTTTCAAAGTGGTTTGAGTTTATGTGGGAGGATGCACATAGGAAAACACATGTAAGGAACACATGAAAACAGCATAAATTCAAGTAGTAATATATAACATTTCTTTTCTCTGGAACTTTTATTCCTATTTGTACATTTACTGTCTTCTGTCTTCATCAGCGGTGATTTTTAAAGAAATTCCTTTTTGCAGTAATTTTTTCCAAAGATCCATTTTCCCTCTTTCCTAGATAATTTTCATCAGCAGCTTACAACTTCTTGAACTCATTACTTTTTTTTTTCACAGCAAAATTTCTCAAGACTTGGCTATACTACTGTGTTTATTGAGTATGAATAAATAGTCTATTTGGTATATTATGTTCATTTTTTTACCTTATATTTTTGATTTTTAAAAACATATAATTCTGTAACAAAACTTATTTATACTACTAGAGTTAAATAGACAAAACCTACTAACTTGCTGATGGGAAAACCGTAACTTGTGTTTGAATGTTTCCTAAATACTTAAGGTAGAGACAAGTGTATGCATATTGAAATTCATATTCTCTTTGCTCAGATTTTTTTCTTAAATATTTATTGTCGATTTCCATATAACACCCAGTGCATATCCCAACAAGTGCCCTCCCCCATGCCCATCACTCCCCTTCTTCTCTCCCCCTCCCCCATCAGTCCTCAGTTTGTTCTCGGCATTCAAGAATCTCTCATGGTTTGCCTCTTAGCTCAGATTAAGATAATTAAGTCCCTATTTGTTTCGTTAGTAACATTTTACCTTAAAAATATTCAGGAGTATGAAAGTTTTTTGTTTGAGAAGTGCTTCAGTTTGAACAGATGGTTTTTCAGCATTTAAGAAAGAATGTGGTTGATAAGAGTCAAACAGGCAAACCATGAGAGACTCTTGAATGCTGAGAACAAACTGAGGACTGATAGATGTGGGGGGAGATGGGCATGGAGGGGGGCACTTGTGGGGATGAGCACTGGGTATTACATGGAAACCAACTTGACAATAAACTATTTGTAAAAAAAAAAAAAATCAGTCACCATGACTAAGTCATGCTAGTGCATTGGATATAATATGTTTTGATTTCTGCAAAGCATATGACAGTCTCATATAACATACCTATGGACATACAGGCAAGATGCTAACAAAATTCATTTATGGATGATTGAACATCCGTCAAAGAATTTTTATCACTTCTTTCTTTGTGCCAGTGTTCCATTATACTTAGATTATTCCTACCTGTGTGTCCTCATCTTTAGCTCAGTGCATGACATGTAGCAGACACTTAGTAAACATGATGGGTAAATCAATAAGTTAAGAGACTTTAACAATTTGATAACTAATATAGTAGGTTTCTGATGGCAAGCCGTAGGATATAATCCTTATCAATAGTATTACTGAATAAAAAAGACTAGATAACCTTGAAATATAAATTAAAACAATTTTCTTAAAAGTTATTGGAAAGATTTAAGGTAGCTCACAGAAGGAAACGAAAAGCTAACATCCCAGTTTTCAGAAAGGATAGAAACTAGAATGGTTATCTAAATCTGGATATAGGACTTACTTAATGGATAGTCTCTTCAGGGTGTCACTCTTGTAGTTTTATACTGTTTTCCATCCCTCTGTTGATCTCTTTGAGACTCACATTATCAGGAGGGTGGCAGAATGGAAGAGGTTGGGTTGTGTGCATCCAATAGATTTAACAGATTCAACAGATATAACAGATAGAAAAAAGCATTTGATTAAGTCAGTGTTCATTTAAAGTACATATTTTTAGGACAATAGAAAAAGGCCTCTGGAAATAACATTGAAAATTTAGAGGCAACATTAAGGATGTATCACCAATTCTACTCTAAAACTGCTGTATCTTAGTATACACTCTCCAAGGTCTTAATATTTTTAGTACAATACTGGATTTTATTTTCCTGTATTCTCTTTGGCACTCTTGCGTCTCTGGATACATATGAGATTTGTCTGTGATTTTTCTTTTTTTGTAATATCCTTGACTAGTTTTGGTATAAAGATTAGTTTATAGAATGAATCTGCTAACCACACTATTTCTAGACTTTGTAAAAATTAATGTAGAGACTAATCTTTAAAGATTTGATAGAACTTGCTTGTAGAAATGTTTGGACTTGGACAGTGGTAAGCAAGACAGTAAACTAGGAGTTTTCTACCATCATCTCCTCACAGAACCAACTATGAACAAGATTACCTTTGTGGAATCTGGATTCAGGGCTTACATAATGTCCATTATATTCAGGATGCCATTCTTAAAGTTTTACACTGTTTTCCATTCCTGCATTGCTGGGATTACACTGAAGAAACATTAGCACACTGTTGAAGCCAGAAATCTGAGAATAGATACATTGAAGAGAGTAAGAACAGTTTCACTTTACCTATGTCATCCCTCCCCAAAGGTGTCACAGCTCAGTGCCAAGAGAGATTCACTCAGCCTGAAATTTTTCCACTGGGGGAAGTGAGAGCACAGTGAGTACTTGGCTTTCCAGCCATGTAGGATGCTGCCCCAGAGGCCCAGTTTTTTCTCACCATACTGAGGTAATCTGCACAGCAAAGTGGTTGAGAGAGGCTGGGAGCAGGTAAGAGATGTGGGGACTTACAGCAACTGGGCTAAGAAATCATCGAAGGGTCACACATCTGACTGACTAACCACTTTGCAGACTCCCACCAAAAAGCCTGCCCATGGACAGTGGAAACATCTTCCTACAGATTCCTCCAACTGGCCCATGGACCCCTCAAATGTTCTGGATTCCTTACCTGCTCTTCCTGTTACTGCATTACGTGTGCCCCATGGGTGGTGAGTTGCAAACATTTGCATATGGCTCACAATTGTGCAGAAAGCCAGACAGTCTCTGTAGGATCAGGAGAAGACGCAACTTGAACGTGTCAGGGTATTGCCCAGGGATCACCTGACCTGGCTTTGTGAGACCAAGAGAAGGTATCTTAAGAATTCTCACTAAATCAGGAATAAGAGATGTGGAGCAAGAGTACACATAAAAAGGTCTAAGAGAGCTTCAGAATTTATTGTTGCACTGACTAGTAAAGGCATTTCTCTCCTGAAGCCCCTCAGTAAAGACTAGAGAAGGTAAGTTCTTTGAATAAAACACAGCAACGCAAAACTTGAAGGAATGAGAAAAATTAAGGAATATGACACCACCAAAGAAGCACTTTAGTTTTCCATTTGCCATCCTAAAAGAAGTGGAGATCTATAAATTGTTTGAAAAGGAATTAAACATAATTATTAAAGAAGCTCAGCAACTACAAGAGAACATAGATGGATAATGAAATCAGGAAAAGAACATATGAACAAAATGAGAAGTTCAACAAAGAGATAGAATTCAAAAAAAAAAAAAAAAACAAAACCCATCAAATTCTAGAGCTGAAGAATACAGTGAACAAAATGAAAACTCTAATTGATCGTGTCAATAATAGACTTGATCAAACAGAAGAAAAAAATCTGTGAACTCAACTATAAGGCACTTGAAAGTATCCAGTCAGAAGAGGAAAAAAAAAAAAAGAAAAGAAAAGGAATGAACACAGTCTCTAGGGTTTATGGAATCATCCTTTTTTTTTTTTTTTTTTTTTTTTTTACAAATAGTTTATTGTCAAATTAGTTTCCACATAACACTCAGTGCTCATCCCCACAAGTGCCCTCCTCCATGCCCATCCCCCCCTCCCCCCCACATCCATCAGTCCTCAGTTTTTTGTCAGCATTCAAGAGTCTCTCATGGTTTGCCTCTCTCCCTTTCCCCCACCATTTCCGCCCTTCTTCTCCCCCTTGTTCCTCCGTCAAGTTCCTCCTAATCCTCCTATACATGCAAACGTATGATATTTGTCCTTCTCTGCCTGCCTTATTTCGCTCAGCATAACACCCTCAAGGTCCATCCATGTTGCTACACATGGCCAGGGAATCATCCTTTTGAACTAATAAATGCCTTGTGATAGTCCCAGAAGGAGAAGAGAGAGAGTTAGAAAACTAATTTAGAGTAGTGGCTAAAAACTTTCCAAACCTAAGAAGAGATACAGACATCTAGGTCCTTGAAGCTCAAAGCTCCCTAAACAGTTTCAACCTAAAGAAGACTTCTTCAAGATGCATTATTTCAGGCTGTTAAAAGTTAAAAACAGAGAAAGTTTTGAAAGGAGCAAGATAAAGAGAGTAGTTACATACAAGGGAAACTCCCTAAAGCTATCAGCAGTTTCACAGCAGAAGCCTAACAAGCCAGGAGCAAATGGGATGATCTATTTATAGTGCTGAAAGAAAAAAACTGCCGACCAAGAACACTTTATCTGGCAAAGTTATCTTTCATATATGAAGGAGAAATAAAGAGTTTCACAGAAAAATGAAAGCTGATGGGTTACTATCCACTAGATACATTTTATAAGCAGTGCTGAAGGGTGATATTAATTCACATGAAAACATATGAAGGTATAAAACACTTGTAAAGGTAAGTATATAGTCTAGTTTAGAATATCTTAATACTGTAATGGTGTATAAAACACCTTTAACTCTAGTATAAAGGTGAAAAGAAAAAGTATTAGAAATAATGATAGCCAAAACACCAACATTAATTTTCATAGAACTAGAACAAATAATACTGAAATTTTTATGGAACTTCGATTAGCCAAAGCAGCCTTAAGAAGAATAAAGCTGGAGGTATCATAATTCCAGATTTCAAGATATATACTACAAAGCTGCAGAAATCAAAGCAATATGTTACCAGCACAAAAGAGATACACATGATCAATGGAACAGAATAGAGTCCAGAAATAAACTTATGCTTGTATGGTCAATTAATCTATGCCAAAGTGGCAAGAATATACAGTGGGGGAAAAGACAATGTCTTCAATAAGTGATGCTGGGAAAACTGGACAGCTACATGCAGAAGAATGAAACTGGACCACTTTCTTACCCCATACATGAAAATAAAATAAAAAATGGATTGAAGATTAAATGTAAGACCTGAAACCATGAAACTCCTAGAAGAGAACATAGGCAGTAATTTCTCTTGACATCAGCTGTAGCAACATTTTTCTAAACATGTCTCCTAAGGCAAAGGAAAGAAAAGCAAACAAATTATTGGGACTACATCAAAATAAAAAGCTTTTGAACAGCAAAAGAAACCATCAATAAAACAAAAAGGCAACCTACTGAATGAGAGAAGATATTTGCCAATTATATATCCAATAAGGGATTATTATTCAAAATATATAAAGAATTGATACAACTCAATACCAAAAACCTAAATATCTCATTAAAAAGTGGCCAAAGACACAAAAACAGACACATAGACCAATGGAACAGAATTGAGAACTCAGAAGTGGACCCAAAAGTATACAGCCAACTGATCTTTGACAAAGCAGGAAAGAATATCCAATGGAAAAAAGACAGCCTTTTTAACAGATGGTGTTGGGAGAACTGGATAGCAACATGCAGAAGAATGAAACTAGATCATTTTCTCACACCATGCACAAAAATAAACTCAAAATGGATAAAGGACCTGAACGTGAGACAGGAAACTATCGACACCCTAGAGGAGAAAGCAGGAAACAACCTCCTTGACCTCCACCGCAGCAACTTCTTACTTGACACATCCCCAAAAGCAAGGGAATCAAGAGCAAAAATAAATTGTTGGGACCTCATCAAGATTAAAAGCTTCTGCACAGCCAAGGAAACAACCCAGAAAATTAATAGGCAACCAACGGAATGGGAAAAGATAGTTGCAAATGACATATCAGATAAAGGGTTAATATCCAGAATCTATAAGGAACTCACCA